GAAGTTATCTTTGCAAGAGATTAAAAATCTTAATTGCAAATAAACGTACGAATCAATGGATTCGAGGTTTCTCATTCATGAGAGCTGGGTTGTGAGGCAAGCCGCCGCATCGCAAAGGATGCAGGCCATGGTCGCCTCCACTCCGGGAGCTTGCGACGGCCTTGGCTGCCTTCTGGGGAAAACCGGGTTGGGAGTCGACTAGGAGTCTAGGATCGACTTCGACGCTACGCGCTGAAAAGCGCGGTCGGATGCGCCCACGTCCGGAGGCAGACACCGCTCGAAGGCTCATGCATAAACAACAATGAGCCTGAGGGCACACATTCAGGTTACGAACATTATAACGCGAAATCAAAACAATCATTAGATTGTCCTGCTCTTTTCATTAATCTGGAGGGCTAATCCGTTAAGAAAAGAACTTATCGCGAATAACAGAAAACGGAAAGACTCCAATGGAAATATCCATAAAGGATAAGGTTTCCATGTAGTACTATCCATCCCGTGAGATTCCCATGGGAGAAATTGTAACCGCCGCAGAGCCTTGCCGGCTTGCCGCGCTGGTCATGCTGCATGAGCGTTGCGCTGCCGCGAGGCATCGCTGGCCGAACGCATTCGCCGTTGGAGGTTGCACCGTCCATGGCTGCCTTGCCTGAGGAAAAACGAGCCGTTGGACAGAGCCGTGCTCGACGCCATGGCGAGGCCATGCGCTCGTCGCCTGGGAAACCAGGCCGGTGGCTGGAGAAGTGCGCGCCACCATGAATCCCATCTCCTTGGGGTGAGGCAGTCACGCGGAGGTGATGCCCATGGTCGCGCCATGGACTGGTAGCCACTTCAGCCGCCACAGAAGCACGCCGGCGCCGCGGTGTGCGCCGCGTGCCAGGAAGTACATCGCCGATGCGGTTTCCATCGCGGGCCTGCACGCAAGGTGCATCCAGGGCGCGCGTCACCGTCGTGCCGCGTCGGGGCCAGGGCTTCTGCCGGCTTGGACTGGAACGACCCGGCCGAAAGATGCGGACGCTGGAGGAGCCGCTCCCCGAGGAGCCTGGTCGAGGGCCGCGTCATCGGTGCGGCAGAGATGCAGACCGAGTGCGTCGACTTCCGCTTCGCCGGGGCGCGACGCACGGCCGGGCACGGGGTGGCCACCGCGTAGACGGGCGCGGTGCCGTCTAGCGTCGTGGCTGATGTCTCCTCTGCACTCGTGGCGCGGGACGCTTTTTGGACCCCGCGCGGGCGACGAGGTCGCGAACGGAGAGGACAAGGGCCAGGCTGCGTCGTCTCTACTGAGGGGAGGTTCATCGGCGTCCATTCGCTCGATGGAGAGCAACGTGGCAGAAGTGTTGAAGTGTAATCGAGAGAGACACAAGTGATTCAAGTGTTCTTTATTGATGAGAAACACATATTTATACAAAGCCAAAAGAGACTTAGAGACACGTCTGTTCAGAAGAGATGCGAGGAACCACCGCGTCGTTTGCCAGAATAGCAACCGCACATTGGAACCGCCGCCCCAGTCCGTGATGACTAGCGACATCCTTGTTCTCTCTTCTTGGTGGTGAAATCCATCCTCCACATGCATCTACGTACAGGAGAAATCAATCTATTGCTTGATCATCAATTGATCACAAGAAGACAAAAAGGAAATTAAAAATCTGTTGATAATGTCCCATCTGTACGGCAGTTGCCGATCTAATCTCCATGGCTTTGTGCCGAGAGCAAATCTCCATGGCTTTGTGCCGAGAGCACCATCGAGAGGCATCTCCTCTCTTCCTTTTAGACCGAATCGCTTGATTGGTTTTGCGCCACGCGCCGGAGGATGTGGCCGGCGGCTGGTTTCCGCGTTGTCGTGGGAAAAACTCAATCCTTGGGATTGCTCCGCGAGAGATTGTGCTGATAACGTGTTAAAGAGCAAAACGAAAGACAAGAGAAAGAGATGTGAAAGTGAATCCTTGTTCTGATTGGGTTACACATATATATAGCCCCTGAAGGGCTATCTCCGAAGGGACACGAGGCAGGAAAAGTAGGGATTAATAGAATTAATTAAATCCTAACACAAGAAATTGTTGATGGCTTCTAATTTTGCAAGAATCAAAGGAAGTATCTTTCTGAATTGTTCCTGTTCAATGCATCATATTTTACTCTTTTTTCCTTCATGAGTTTACTAAACAGGTTCTCATAAAGATTTTTAATGAGGTAATATAACCATGAGATCATATATCATACTTTCCGTTTTCCCACCAGGATTTTTAAAAAAGTATATAACATATTTATTGTTCTTTAATTCTATGGATTTTTCTCATATTGAGTTAAACAGACAATAAAGACAATAATCATTATATGTTGCGGCATTTTCTCCTTATTTTTCCTACTGGGTTTGAAGGAGTTTTGACAACATATCAAACACATCTATCCTCATTTTTTTTCCACAGGGTTTTTAAGACTTCTGCTCACAAGATCAAGCATTGATTAGGGGGAGTGCTAGAATTAATTAACCATGTGTTAATTATGGGATTAACCCCTACTTATACTAACTGCAGGCAGTTGTAAAACTGCCACGTCGGTTCCTGCCAAACAAGCACCTCCTCTCAACAGACACCTTTCCAATGGTGTCCTTTCTCTTATATAAATAGGAGATGCCATCTAATAGAGAAGGGAGTTGATTCATTTGTTGCCTCTCTCGTTTTCCTCTCAATAATTTTCTCCTTATTCTTTCCATCAAGTTTGAAGGAGTTTAGCAACATACAATACTCCTCACATTTTTCCCAGAAGAGTTTTTGAAGGAGACTTTTTCAAGATGATGATATTACATGGACAGGTGTAGATTAGCAAGAATGTTAAAGCTTAATTAACATGTGTTAATTATGGGGAATCTCACCTTGTACCAACCGCAGGCAGTTGCCAAAGAGGCAACTATCGCATAGGTTCCTCCCTTCTGCCTGTATAAATACCTACAGTCATTTAATGAAAGGACACTGATTCACTTTACATCGGCAACTGTCGCATCGGTTCCTGCCATCTCTCCCGAAAGGATGCCTCTAAAATGTGTATCTTCTACCAGTATAAATACCTACAATCATCTAATGAAAGGACACTAATTCACTTTACATCTATCTCAATTGTTCTCTATCGATCTCTATCTTAACAGAACCTGCCAGGTTTCCATGCGTTAGGCTACCATGTGAGCCAACTCCTCCAGAGGTTGGAGATAAAACGGAATCTGTATACGATGGATGGGAAATGTCATACACGCTCTATGTATTGTCGTTTCATGTATCACGTGAGAAATCACGGTGTGGATACCGATGGTTCCAATATGAATATATGGAGTGACCCTCGCATTACAAGAAAATTATGGTAACCGCATCCCACAACTGGCGGCAGGAACACATCTCTAGCCTCTCCGTGGCCACGGTCTTGCATCTCAAGCTCTCCGTGGCCACGATCAGCTGGGAGCCAGCATGAGGGGGTGAACTTAACTGGGATCTCAATCAGCTGCTTTGCTATTTCTCTGCTGCTAGCTCTGCTCGTAGCATAACATTTGGTGTTCTGGATAATTCTGGAAGTGCTGGGAGACATGATTGCCCCTATGATCAAGTAATTAGTAAGTTTCTGTCACACTTTGTTTCAGTCAGCGTATGCTGTAAAGTCTGGCAGTTGTGTTTTTGTATACCAGTCTTTACAAGGGGAAAAATAACCAACAGTTTCATTTCTGCCTAGTAAAATCTTAATAACAGGTCAAGAGTTTTCTAGCGTGTGTGGGCATTCAGACATGAACTCTACAAATTATATGGTCAAATATACTCCCTCCGTTCACTTTTGTAAGTCATTTCAGACAGCTCAAAATGGGCTGTTTTGTACATTGTCTGAAATATCTTGAAGGTCTTATAAAAGTGAACAGAGGGAGTATATAAAGAAACAACAATAAGTACAATAAGTACTGATCTTACAGGGTATAATCAGTGACAACGAGCACATATAAGACAAAAGGGAGGCCTTCAGGACCACTCATATTGGGAAATGTGAATAAACGAACATATATAAGTAAATCAAGTAAGAATTTCCCAAAAATATTAACCAGAAAGGGGAGTGACATATCAGTAGAACTACTTCCATGAGACAGGGGATCTACTTCACACCAACAAACCAACCCTGAATCAATTCTGATCAATCAAACACATATGAAGGTTACCAAGATATTGCCAACTATGTTGTTCCTGATGCACGAGACATTAAACTTGCATGACTAGACTTGGATACATGGCAACTAATATGCAAATACATGGGAGAGTGGACTTGGTCATTCAAATATGCTTCACAATCCTTCAATTTAGAGTTCATGACCACTTTGACATTTAACATGATCGCCAGGCATGCAACTCTGAATTATAATAGGAGAGGCCCCTAATTCTACACTATTGTTAATTAAGGTGGGGAGAGGTGATCAGTACAACAGAGCAACCACATGTACTCCCTCCGTTCCTAAATATAAGTCGTTTTAGAGATTCCAATAAGGGACTAGGAGCAAAATGAGTGAATCTACACTCTAAAACATGTCTATATACAAACATATGTAGTTTGTATTGAAATCTCTAAAAGGACTTATATTTAGAAACGGAGGGAGCATAAAGGATATATACATATTAACCTAGGTATATGGACAGATGTGCAAGACGAAGAAAAGAGTTGATATTACTAGCACGGCTAAACAAACGAGCAAGTGCTTTAAGAAAGTTAGCGTTACACATGATAAAAGACTGATATTGTCTGGGTCACGCCGCGAGATAACAAAATACAGTAGACCATAAATACTAAAGCAGACACACATGCGACCTCGAGAATCTAATGGATACTGAACAGCGAGATTATTGCATCGTCCTTTTCACGCTTTCACAACATGGGCTGACGAACCCTACGAGCCACCGGCGGAGAATTCGGCGCAAAGCGTTACACCAAGCAGGTTCGATCGCTCGTATAAACAGTAGGTTCGCCAACCACCTGACCCGCACGACTTAACGCCTACCACGAGGCCCACCAGCTGACCTCGGACCAGGAAAGCGCGAGAATTGCAGCCTTAAATGGGCTGATTCACGATCGTGTTCGTCAAACTTATAACCTGCAAAATGAATCGTGACGGTTTATTTCGCTTCGTCGTCGGGAGAACATAACGAACCTCAAACGTTAACGCCAAGCCATCAAGAATTCAGGTGTGAGCATTAGATCAAACGCATAGGAAAAGAGATACAGTAACAACTATAAACTGGAATGGATTGGCAAGGATACATCGACGTGGATGTTCGAACTGTACGCAACGTATAGATGGTCAAATGACTAAAAACTAATCTCTAGAACCAAGATTGCAAATTCTACACATACAATAAAATGCCCTAGAAAAATCATGGTCTGAATAAATATCCTAGCATTATCGCAGCGCAGCGAAAGGTGAGTTTTTGGCTATTAATGCCAGCTAAGGTCAACTGGTCACTATCCCTAAAGCACAATCTACCTATGCAGTAGATATTGCACAAAGAAAGTACAACAGACAATTGATCATGCTTACCAATTTCAAAGCAAGCATGAGAAGAAATTAATGGGGAATGCATAAATATGTAAACCAAAAATGAAAACATACAATACTGAATATTATCAGAGATAAAATTATGATTATCTATACAACTACATAATCCAAATCTGCAAACGCAAGTATTTTCACCTTGCAGGGCTTCAAGTGAGATAGTAGCTTGGGCAGGGCTATCAAAATCAACGAAACACAGGACATGAGGATCTCCACCAGGCTGCAGCCAAGTTGACAGGTCAATATATGTCATCATTAGAATATAATATACAGGTTATTAACACAAAATAAACCAACAAAAGGGCAGAATATACATACGTGTCTTGACTCTTTGTTGACAAGCCTCACTTCACGGAAACCAACAAAAGGGCGGAATATATCTGTAGTGGAGAAGGTGAAGGAGCAAAAGCACTTATGGTGCGAGATGATACACTTCTAAATTCTCAATGGTGCATCATATTGAACAAGCAGTTTGTCAGGGCATATAAAATAAATGGAGAGGGACTGAACAACAAAGATAAAGGCTGCAAGAACAAGAGTGTCATTAACCAACAGGAATGGAACTATATGATGAATATCAGTGGTGTGACATCAAAGAATACTCGACCATCAATTAAGAAATGAAGTTAAGCACATCATGGTAGCAATATAGCTTATAAGGATACGTGAAACCTCCCTGCGCGTGCAGTTTGCAGGCAGACCTTCAATATACAAGGTGTTGGATGCATCCGGGGGGAGAGGAGGCTCAGGTCTTGCACCATACCCCATGGCTCTGCTGTCCATACCAACGACACCCATCATACGGCGGTCATCAACAGGATATCCACTCATTCCACCACCAACCATAGCAGCTCCACCCATGGCACCAACAACTGCCCTACTTGGTTCATTGGCTGCCACAGAAGGCATCTAGAAGCACAAGAACAAGGCTAAAGTATAAAGACAAGTGCTCAGAATAATTATGTGAGTTCTTTACAACGAAGTTAACAATACCCCATTGCGTAAGTAGCGGTCGTAAGATGCTCCAATTGCTTCATTGTCTCTAAGTGAGTGGTAACCTGCATTTTCCCGCGGATAATATCCAGCCATCTCTTGTCCTCCAGGACCATCTGCAAAAACAATTAAAAAACAAGGTTTCATGTAAATCTCACTAGCCAACAATATCTTTAATTAATATAACCAGCAAGCTAAGAATATTCAGTAGATAAATAAGTCGTAAAAAGGGCATAATTACAATGAGAAAATATGGAAGCACACTAACAGTTAGAGAAGTTAGAGTAGCTACATACAAACATTTAACTGTCATGAGAACTCCAGGATTCTTATAAGGCAGGCAACACCAGTAATTACACACCATTGATCCACACATACATTTGGTACCAACTATTAAAAACCGGTATACTGAAATCCAAACAACCAACAAAAAGCTCTGACCAAAATTGAGCTACAAGAGCCAGATTTGAAGAGTACATCTATTTTGTTTCCTCTAGTAAAGGAGCTGGGGAGGCAAAGTGATGTGGCAACAATTATTGCACCCAAATCCAATCAGCAGATTTACCACATGTATCACTCGAGTTTTTCAAGTCTGCAAACATCTCTCGGTATCGTTCTTGAAAATACTCTGGACAGATTTGTGGTAGAAAATCAACCCTTTTTAGACTCTAAAATAAAAAGTAGTACATCTGGTACGGGTATCGATCTAGTGCTATGATAATGCTGGAGTATCACCACCATATAGGCTAAACCCGCTACGATGTTTACAAAATTAGTGACCGTATTACTGGATCTAAGCAATATCTCATCTACAACTATATAAAAACCAAAACTACCACTAACCACGAGACAATACAGACACGCAAGCACAAACAACGACATAAAGAGCAAAACAACCATCATAGCGAGAACAAAAGGATCCAGATCTAGATTCTAGGGGGCAGATCCGAGGGCCGCGAACACACCGCCGTAGTCTGGGCGCGCGCGCTTAAGAGACGGCGCGGCCGCCTGCTGCTGCTGCTGCTGTTGCGCCATCGCCGCCTGCTGGTGCTGGTGCTGGTGCTGCTGCATGCCCCCCGCGGCCGTCGCTGCCTGCGCAATGGTAGCTGCCGGGGCCATCCCCGCCGCGGCCGCCGCTGCCGCCACCATGGCCTGCTGCTGCCGCGCGTCGGCGTACCTCCAGTAGTTCTCCGCGGCCATCGTTCGCCCTCGTAGGCTCACGCGGGGGGCGATGTGGGGGGCGAGGCGAAGTCTTCGTGCGGCTAGGGTTTCCGAGCAAGAGAAAGAAGGGCGAGAGAGAAAGTGTTTCGGTTTGGTCTCGTCGTGTAGGAGAGAGAAAGATAAAGAGAGATCGGATGGCATCACGTGGCGGTCGATTGTTAGGAAAGCGTACCATATGTTCGTCTGGGCCGCAGAAGCTTCGCGACCGAACGGCTCCGGCGTTCGGGCCGTGATCCAATATCATGTATGGGCCGCTGTGATAGTTTTTTAGCCTACTAGTAGTAGCACAATGGTTTGCCTAAAAAAAAGCATAATGGTGCCAGCTGAGTATGTTCGCGGGAGCTATATCTCGCTCAGGGCGAGATCGAATAAAGTCTCGCCTGAAAGATTTCCTGTGCGATACAGTACTAGCCCAGCCTGTATTGGTGCATACATCATCATCACTTGCTCGCTGCTGGCTCGCTGTTGATTCGGTTCCCTCTATGTGACTTTTATGTTTCATTTCTTTTTTATTCACCTTTTTTCATTATTTTTGTTCTTTCTTTGTTTTTCACTGGTATATTTCGTTTCTTTCTCGGTTTTTACCGATATATTTTTCATTTCTTTTTTCTTTGGTTTTTTCTTTCTTTCTCTGTTTTCATACACAGTTTTGAACAATTTTTTAACATTTTTATGCCTACTTTTTTCATACATATTTTATATTTTTTATATATCAGGAATATTTTTATATACACATTAAAAAGTTCATATACATGAGTAACATTTTTAAAACATATTTTTATGTCTACCTTTTACATACACTTTGTACATTTTTTTGTATACATTGGAAACATTTATATGCGCGTTTAACATTTTTAAAGTACATGGTTAAATATTTAAAAACATATATATTTTGATGTCTGCTTTTCCCATAAACATTTGTACATTTTTTGTCTTAAAAACAGAAATATTTTCTATATACATGTTCAACATTTGTTAAAAGAAAACGTTTACAATCGGACTGTCGGCCGAATTTCATAGTCGACGAGAACGTCTCCTCCCACTAAAAGGCAATGTCAAGTCTGAGACTTGAACTCTGGTAGGCACGAGATAGCACTGTGCTCCTAAATATCAACCGCGGGTTCGTTCGCAAGTGGGTTATATATTAACACTCAGCTGCAGCACGGATCCAAGAAGTATTCTGAGAGTATAAAGTGAATCATGTATTTCCTCAAAAAAAAGTGAACCATGTATTAATAAAGTACTAGCAAAAGAACACGTAGGTTGCAAATGGAAGAAAAAATGGAAGAAAAAGATACCACATGCCTAACCTAAATAATCATAAGTCAATAAACCAATAGGTCCATGTTCTTTATTTCAACATGACACCTCATCTTGTTGCCATTTGTCCGTCGTTGCATTATTGCATACGATGATTATAGTGCTTATAGAACGACAACGCACTTGACGTGGTCAATCGTAAGTCGTCTCTCTCGTGGCATCCGATGAGTTTTTTCTCTTGCTACATTTATTTCGTCTCCAATTTGTTTCGCGCTATTGATTAAGGTTGCATTCTAAATAGCACTTTTCTAAATAGTTAAGAGGTAAAAAATAACATCATATTCGAATTCTACATATTTTTCTAATCAAATTTCATATATAACATGTTAAAATTGAAGTTATGGTTGGATATTTCAAAAAACACATTTAGTTATGGTTGGATATTTCAAAAAACACATTTGTTCTACATAGACTGTGGGTTAATTAGCATAAAAGACATGGTGTTTTTTTCTGTAAAAATGCAAAAAATGATTCAATTTGTCACTTAAAAGTAAGTTGCGGGTTGATTACCTGAAAAGTGTCGGGGGTTTGCATAAAAATCAAAAAACATTTCGTTTTGCCACTTAAAATAGGACTGTGGATTGAATATAAGAAAACACAGGGACTTCTCTGCAAAAATACCGACGGCGTACAACCAGAAGCAGCAGGCGCTTTATTATTAGGTAAAGATTACTTATTTATAACTAACTGATATACATAGGTAGGGTGTGCGTGCGTGCGTGCGTTCATATAGATGAATGTATGCTTGTGTATGTGAGCGACTTCTATATATGGTATTGTGTTTAAAAAACTACTCCATCCGTTCGTAAATATTTGTCATTAAAATGGATAAAAAGGGATGTATCTAGATGTATTTTAGTTCTAGATGCATATCTTTTTATTCATTTTGATGACAAGTATTTTCGGACGAGGGAAATACTATGCATATTGGCTTTTAATTTGATTGCATGTTGCTTTATAACTTTTTTGACATCAAAGTACTCTTTATTCCAAGGTAATCATCATATTACCTTTTACAAGAGTATCAACAACCTCTACGGGTGTATCTTTCATCCAGCACGTACACACCTTACATCTATCTAGTTTTTGCTAAATCGTGAGCAGCACAATTAGTCCCTCTAAGAGAATGCTCAAAAAAATGTGCGGAAAATCACACCAAGGTGATATATATCATCAAAAACTACCGCCCATAGACCGAAGGAGTGACCTCTATTTTTTATCGTCTCTATCACTTCGATATTGTCGAATTTCACCTCTATGCGGTTACACCCGAATGTAGTTGCCAAACTGAGACCAAACCGTAAGGCCGGTACCTCGGCCATAAGCGCGTCTCTGCACTAATTGATTTCCCTGTTTCCCGCCGCGACGAATCTGCCTTTCGAGTCTCTGATGACAGCGCCATACGAGCCCTTGAGTAAGTCTGGGTCAAAAGCCCCATCCACATTTAGCTTCACGTAGTTGCTCCTTGATTTTTTCCAGCCATGTCGCTAGTTGCCTTTGCATCACTCGCCATAGTATAGTTAGCATCCAAAGCTTCGATTGTCATTGCCATGAACTTAGGTTCTTGGACCGTTTCATTATGCACTAACTTTCTCCTCTCCCACCATAAATATCAGGAACCAATGGCAATTGCTTCTGTTGAATTTCCCAGACCAAGGACCACACATTCTTCAGCTGGTTGTAGCAATAAATATTCTAGCACATCTTCTCTTGCATGATTCGCAACACATGCTTTATCAATAGAAATGTCCAAACCCAGTAACCGCCATACCTCTTTAGCTTTTCCACAAGTGACTAACTGGTGCTTGTGTCACAGCCCTAGAATTTGCTTGCCATTAGTTGCCTTAAAGCATCCATGCATCATCTTAATTTTTCAATTAAAGTTGAAATGGGGATGAAAAACCCTAGCACCAAAATTAAATCAAATAGGTTCAACTTAAAAACATTTTCAAGAACCCAGAATGCTCTTTAGAAAAGTTCATCATTTTTGAATTGATCTAGAACCTCTGACAAAAATGGTGCACACCTTTCTAGGTCATTTTTGGATTTTTGAATTAAATCATAACTACTTGCATTTGGACATTTAAATCCTATACATAATTTTAAATGTCCAAATAATCTTGAAAGTATTTTAAGGTTGTTGGAAATAATCAAAACATATGCCACAATCATTTTCAAGATTTTTCAAAATGAATTAGTATTTTTACTAATTCAAAACAGAATAAAAGTAATAGAAAAACTGAAACAGAAATGGAAAAGAGAGACAGAGAGGAAATACCTCGCGCCTACCTTCAGCCCAGAGGCCCAACACTGTGCAGCCCAGCAGTAGCCCAGCCCACCACAGCCACCACCGTCTTCAACCTCCTGCCAGTAGGCAGGAGGGCGTGTGCCCAACACACGCGCGCACGCGCCGGCCACCTCCTCCCTGCCTGGTTGCTCCCTCGCCGCCCTGGACGCCTCCTGCGTCGCCACGCAATGCCTCTGGTCTTCTCTCACCCTCCCCATGCTCCTCCTCCCCTCTATCTCTCTCCCTTTCGCACGGTCCGAGCGCCACCGTCGCCGCCGACAAGCACCACCGCGGCCACTGCCTCCCCCTCGCCCTTGGACATGCCCAGGAGCATCGCCCCGTCGCCCACACCCTCTCCGCTGAGTCAAGCAACGCCGGACGCCCCCGAACGTCGCTGACGCCGTCGTCTTCAACCTTCTGCCCCCCAGATCACCGGAGATGCCCCATCGTCATCCGGCCTTCCCCGAGCCCACTTTGACGGTCGTCGCAACCGCCGTGAGCCACTGAATCTTCTCCCTCCCTCCGTTTTCCCTCTCGCACGTTGTAGCCGCCGTGCCACACGCACCCGCACGCGCCGCCGCCTGCGCTCGCCACCGACACGACTTCGGCGACCTTTTGGTCCGCTCGTTGTGTCCATCGCACTCGCCGCTTCGCGCACGCGCTCCCTAGCGCGTTAGCTTCCCCGCCTGCACCCCGAAGCGCCTCCCGCGCTCACGCCCGAGCTCCGGTTGCCGCGGCCGAGCTCCTTGCCGTCGCCATGGACCACCCCACGGCCAGGCATGGCCATGATCTGAAGCGCCTCGTCGTGCTGGTTCCGTAGAGCCCAAGAGTGCGGGCTCACGTGGCCGGAATCGCCCGGCCAGCGAGTCGCCGCCGCCCTGTGAGGTCACCGGCGAACCCCGGCGATAGCTGATGTGGCATCGTCATTAGCTCTAATGACGGGGCTAACTAACCTCCCTAGCTCACTGGCATACGGGCCCCACGCGCTAATTAACCCCAATTTATTCCTGCTTAGATTTAACCTGATCACGGTGGCCCCACGCGTCAGTTTTGACTGTGCTGACGTGGCCATTGACCGGGCCCATAGGTCAGTGACCCTGACCAACACTATGTCACTGATTAGTGGGACCCACTGGTCAGGTTTGACCTGGTTAGCCTCAGTTGACTCACTGAGGTCATGCTTGCACAATGCTGACGCAGTAATTGATTTTCTAGATTTAAAATAATTTAGGAAATTTCAGAAAATAGCTAAAACTTCTAAAATTCATAGTAATTAATCTATAACTCCAATGGAAATAAGTTATATATGAAAAATGATCAAAAAACTGTAAGGAACCCATCTGTACCATTTCCATGCATGTTTGAACAATGT